AAAAAAGAAAGAGAGAAAAAGGAACTATTGCTTTAGGAAAAAACTGATTTAGGAAACAAACAAATGAAAAAGTGTTTTAAGAGAAGAAAGATTAACTGCCTAGGTTTTTCTAGAAAATGTTTTAAGAGTTGAAGATATCTAGTTATATCTTTAAATGTGTTGCTATTACATATTGATTGCTTTGCAGGAAAAGTTTTCAAAGTCTGGACCAGCTTTCAGCAGATGTTAGTCTTTCTCAATCTTCTCTGGATCCAGGTCACTCACAGGATGAGAAGCAGGATGGAATGAACATGTTAAATGAAGGTACAGAGCCGGTCTAGTGGCTTCCTTTAATTTTGTTCTTCATAGCTCTGAACTTCAGTTGCTGTGAGATGAGTTTTCAGTGTGAAGAAAATATACATTGAAAAGCATATTTTTCATTGTTATGCAAAGTGTTTCAGAGTCCGTGGGGAAACCCCCAAGGACTCTGCTTCAAATAATTTTGGATTTATGAAGATACCCACCCCACTCCCCCAATAAGTATAAGACACTGTGCTGTGTTTAAAGCTAAGCTTCAAGTATGTGGCATATCTTCTTTTTCCATCACAGAACCAATCAGCTCTGTTACAAGGAGGATCTTCTGACGTCTTTCTGCTGTAATAAACGCTTTCATTTTGGTTCTTAAAAGAAAGATTAAAGGCAACTGGATTTGCAACTACCGCTGTCATTCTTATATCTTGCATTTAACATTTATCTGTGAAGATGCAGCCTGACAGTGTTTCCATTAAAATAGAGAGAGGAACATGATATGAACTGTGTATATAAATGTAATATATATACACATTTCCTTTCAAGACCTGTATGTTTATCAAAGCTTAGCTGCTCCATCTTGTGGGCAATTGTAAAAGCAGAAAAAAGATGGAAGACATATGAAATAGTAGTATTTTGGGCATAGAACATAAATTAATATAAAAAAATCCTTTTTGTATCTCATCAAAGCTTTACATGGAATTGATAATACAGAGCCTTAGTATTACATAACTGTTAAAGTTTCTTGGGTTTAAAATATCAAGGATGAAAAATGTAGAGTTTTTTTAAAAAACACTATAGGCAGTCTTAAAATCTAATTTAATTCAAGTTAGCGTAGAGAAAGTGAAACAGAGTTCTTGTGCAGATCTACTTTCAACTGGTTTTTTGCAATGTTAATCATTTGAAGCTATGCTTTGTCTTATCTTCTGAAAATTAAAGTGTGGGAAAACCAGTGGTAATAATAGTTTAGGTTTTGATTTCAACACTGTCTTTAAAGGTAGCATACCATCTCATTTCTAAATCAGTGACGTTCATTAGCATTTAAGTTTTAGTGTAGTTTTGTAAGACACAGTGATCCTGCTGTGGTATCTTTGGTCTAACTCTCAATATGGCAGTTTTAACGAAATGATTAGAAGTAGTAAATTTTCACACTATTCTGTAATCCTTTGTAATGTAATTTATTAGCAGAGTTGGCACAAAGTAAGTTGAACAGGTATTCTGAGAAGGGAAGACATAAAATAAAGAGAGAAATTGTCCAGTGCAGTTTCATATGGGTATGTTTCATGTTAGCTGTATTTGCATGACAAGGCAGATGTTTGCACTGCTACTCCTGCACTGTGTGGCATTTTCCAGTGGTTGGAGCCTAATGCATTTCAAATTACCAAGGTTTAAAAAACAAAACATGCTTATTTTGATAGAAATAGATCCTGATCCAGTTAATTCTACTCCTTTCTGTGGGATTTAAAATTAGATCTTTGGTACTGACATTGTATTAGTAATGTCACTTCCATGTATACACAATGGACTTTATATACAATTGCCTTCCATTTATATACAGTGGACAATTTATATACAATTAACTGGTGCTGGAATTAGTAACTTCAGTGTGTAGTCAGTGGAGCCTCTGGATCTGCCTCTGCAGGAGACTGACTACAGCCCAGCCTTTAGTGCACAGGTAGGGATCTCTGTACCACCTGGACAGGGAAACTGTGGCATAAATTACGTGGCTTCCCAATGCCTGTGCTGAAGCAGTAGTATGTAACTCATAATAGTGTAGATGAAACTGCCTTTTCTGTTCTTTCTTTTTTTTCTGTTATCTTGTGCTGTAAAAATTATTAGCTTAATTCTTGTTTTTCTTAACAGGGAAGGAAGACACTCCATCTTTGCTTGGTCTTTGTGGTTCTCTTACGTCAGTAGCAAGCTACAAGTCTCTCACAAGTCTGAAATCAAGTGAATATCTTGCAAGTCCCACAACAGAGATGACAAGTCCAGGCTTAACACCATCTTGAGATACACAAGAAGGAAGAGCTTTGTGTTGTACGCATTTGGTTTATGTTCTATAAAATGACTTGCAATGAAGACTGCTAGTTCTGAGTTGAAAAACAAGCTGCTTTATTTTTTCTTTTCCTGGTTACCTGTGTAATTTACAAATTCTGTCCATTTTCATTCACCTTTTTTTCCCCCAGAGGACTTTTCAGATTTTCTATTTTAATCTGGATTTATTTAAAGCTCTTTGTCAGGTACAGAATGTATAATCCGATGCTTATGAATGATTTTTAAAATGAAAGTTGGAAAACAGTCCCCTACTAAATTGCCATCAGCTTTGTTTCTCCTTGCACTGGCCTGGCCCTGCTCCAGCCACTGTACTTTTCTGCAGTGCTTTAAATATCTATCAACTCTTGCAGAATAGACAGGGAATCCTTAATGCCAGTCTTTATAGGCAAATAAATATATACCTAAAATTCCAGCTTTTCATCTGTGTATGTTGTGTAGGACCTCAAATAGCATATTTAACCTATCAACAACTTTTCTCAAGTTGACTCAGTGTTAGGTTTTGCATTCCTGTTAGTATCATGGCACTTAGATGTCCAAATCTCACTGAAGAATCACACTGAAACACTCTTGCAAACTCTTGAAGTTGCATGTGAATAACAAATGTAACTTAATCATATAAATCAAGCATACTTAGCAATTTTCAAATGGTGAGGAAACTCGCTAAATGCTTTTGAGTGACCTGAGTTACAGATAATCTAACATTATATGAGAAATTTCTTGCTGGAAAGATAGAGACTAAGGATAGTGGGGTTAGCACCTTGGGAAGTTTGGATTCTGTGTTTATTGGCAAGATCCCAAGGAGAGTGAAAAAGGGGAAACAAAGTAATGGCTGTATTTCCATGTTAAAGACTTTTCTCATCCCTGTAGTAGTGCAATAGGTATTTTTCTTGATAAGATAATACAGCAGAACTTCTCAAGTCAGTTTTCTCAGATTACTTGCCATTGATTTAAATTATTGATAGGAAAAAAAAAGGAGACATTTTTTAAATGTAACTAACTTTCCAGATCACCCTACAGTTTCAAAGTTTGCAACTAAATTTTTGAAATTGCAAACTATATTCTTAATTCTTTGTAAGATACGATCTTATCTATGAATTTTGCTAATCAAGATAATGCTTATCACTATGATTAGTAACTTTTTAAACAAAAGTTAAATGCATGTAAGTATGTTGTATTTATAAGTGCTAGGGAAAATGCTTTTTTGTGCCAAAGAAGTTTCATAAATTGTTTACATGAGTAGCTGCAATACAGGACAGATTTTTAATTATTGCTTACTCTTAGGTGTTTACAGTATGTCACTACATTCTGTACAGTTTTACTTGATTTGCCTCTTGTGATGGTACCTTGGCACTACTACTAAAAACTGGTCATCATAGGATGGGCTTGAAAGAAACAGGATTCATTCTTACCTTTACTGAAACTATAGGGAATGTAGCCTTTGTAAGTATAGGCTACGCATCTCTGGAACTTACGGCACTGCTGGATTTAGCTGGAGGAGGTTCAAAATACATATCCTCAACTCTCTAGTCCATGCTGCTAGAGGTCACTGCATCCATGGCAGGGTACACAACTACTGATGCTGTTTTAATGCAGCATTTTAGCAAAATCCACCAGATCTTGTCTTTCAAGCCCTCGTGTGCCCACCCAGTTAATTTCTCTGTAATAAACTGACAGTTAAATCCTGTCATACACTGTCAGAATGCCCAGTACTTCATGTAACCTTTTTTTGTTATCACATTAAGCACCTGTTCTTTCATGACAGTCGAGTAACATTATTAAATATAAATTTGTAAACTAGAGATGCATTTTTACTATAAATAAAATGAGGGAATCCGGATTCCACAAGTTAACATTCTTCATCAAGGTACAGTGATTTAATGGGTCTTGTTTGCTGTTAAACACTTCTCACATTACAACAATATTTTGGAGGGGGCTGTAATCATGATCTTCAGTCATGTTCACTGATGGCTCTTTTCTTGGAGCTACTAGTTTGAAATTCATGTGTCATTCAACTGAAGTCTTTTATGTGGTCAGACACCACTGAGTTTCTGGGTTTTGTGCATGGGAAATCAGTTATGTGTGTCTTTCTCAGTTCTAAACATTAATCATTTAAAAAAAAATTAAAATACCAAAACTGTATGTTTTGTTGCCTTGATGTTCCATAAATGTTGCATGTAAATTAAACATTTTGTATCATCACAAGTTACAAATTTTTGTCTTTGTTTTAATCACGCAAGATAAAATAAGACCATTCAGTAAATTACAGTATTACTGAGCTTATAGCAAATTCTTTTCTTGCAAAATGGGGAAATCTGGTTTTGTTACTGCAAGTCATTCAGTGTCATCCAAAATCTGTTGTTATTATTTTCTCTTAGGCCTTATTTTGTCAATTTACGTTCAAAAGTCACAGTGGGAGAACAGTGTTTAGTATCTCCTCTGGCAGCACTTCTTGCCTGCACCATATGCTGTAACATGGTACCTAACGTCTTTACAACTGCAGCATTTTTCAGCGTGTGATGAATTTTCACCAAGACAGAACATATTCTGGGGTACCTTCTTCACAGTAGGATAGGACTGAAGTCCATTTCTTCAGTAAAGCACACCCGAATGTCAGTGTCTTAATGACCTGAATACTGAGTTGCTTTTGCATCAGCAAATAAAATACACAAAAAAGTAAAATTCAACCCCTTCATTGAAAATGCATGGAAAAAGGGAGGTAGAGTGAAGGTAGTTAAAAAATAATTAAAATCATACAGAGGAAGCTCTGATTCAGTAACTGAAGTACCTATGGGCAAGTGAGGAGCTGCAGCTGCTCATACCACAAGTGTGCAGTACACTGTGGCAGACAGTGGCTGCGTCGACAGCAGCAAACTAAATATGCTCTTCCCTTCAGAGAGACACACGGCTGAGTCCAAGAGGCATGGAACCACCTGCCTGTGCCAGCACACCTGGCCTTCCAAGACAGGTGATCCCATAAAAACTGTGTATGGCTTGGCCCTGCCCAAGAGCATTGTGGCAGTGACAGCTTGCACCTCCCAAAAACATGTGAGGCAGTGTTTCTCCAGAGCATCTGTACAGGCCGTTGTCTTCAATGCCTGGATGTGCTTTAATTTTTTAAGAGTATTACCTTAAACAAAAGCCACTGCAGTCCCTATCACTGTATTCACTAAGCTCTCTTGGTTTCTAATGAGCATGAGTATTTTTTCCACTTTGACATAGGGAATTTTTCATTTAAAATAAACAAGAAGCTGTTTTATAATGTGTACTGAAACAAAATATAGAGCTGCAAACAACAAACATGCCCAGAATGAAACGCATCAAGCAGCAAGAATAAATAAGCATTTAATGAATTCATTCTGTATCAACCTCCGTATTGAGAAATAAATATATCATACAACTGGAAGCCCAAAACATTTTTAAACAATAATTTTAAATATCCAACAAAAATGTTTCATCAGACTAAAAATTTAACATGGTGGCAGTCGTTATTCTTCATTGCTCTGTCCAGGCTTAAATTCTTTTTTTTTCTCCTCCTTCCTTTCTTTTTCCTCTTTAGCTGCAAGAGAAGTCACAGAATCTTCAATGGTAGTTTAAGGGTGATGTGTATTTTCTTAGTCTTAATTAAAAAAGTTAATTTATCCTTCATGAAACAGTTAAAAATGAAGTTGTATTTAGTTACCAAATGTAATGGTAGAAATTCACTGTGAATTCTAGAAAACGTCTTCACAGATTAAAATTTGGCACAACTTTCACCATTGACTTCATACAATCGGATGAAGGAGAATTAAGGACGTTGATTCATTTTTTCATTTAAATGAGAAAAGAAAGATTTTCCATATTCGTATGTGCTGATCATTATGGCACAAGCAGGAGCAACTTTACATAGCCGTGGAATAATACCTGCCCAGAAGAGAAAGGAAGGTATTCACTATCATTTGTTTTCAGACCAAGTGCTGTAGTACAATTTATTGGTCACAATATATTGGTACCATAGTATATCAGTGTAGAACTCTGATTGTACGTGTCCGTGTTCCTCAAAATACTAAATTTACTGGCTGTAGGTATTGCCAGAATAACAACCTTATGCGCTCAGCTATGCCATCCTGTGGGGCCTGTCTGCCTCGAGACTGCTGTGTCTCTGCCCCTTCCGACTCTCTGGAACACCTGGACCTGGAGGGCTCCTGTGCTCCAGCACAGAAGAGGTGACCCAAGGGCAGGCTGTGCCCACCCCTAAGAGCCAGTGCAAGCTCATGGGGGACAGGCAGAGGCTTATGATCTCTCAGGTGTGAAAAAAGAGGTTCATGAAGCCCTCAATCCTGACATGGATAAAGTCAGGGAGGAAAGGGCTCAAGTACCATGCTGGGCTGTACTCTCTAGTATACAAGTTTGTGGCTCAGCCCTTCAAGCCAATTCTTAAGTAAAAAATCTGGTTCCCTTGCCACTATCTCTTAAAACCTATAGCACCTCTACTAAAATGGAAGAATCCTGTTCAAATGTATGATGATAGAATTTCAGTGTTAAATGTGTCTCATTACAGTCAACTGTGATCTTGTCAATGGAGTTCAGAAAGTGATTAAGTTTACCTAGAGATAGGAAAATAAGGCTGAATCCACTTGTCCACACACAGCCAGCCATCTACTTCCACTTGAAACAGAAGGACGTCGGTGGGGAGCCAGTGCAGATGAGACATGGGTGGAAAACTTGAGTTGCTTAGGAACAGCAGCAAGAGGCCAGGGAGACTGCCCCTGGTCACCTTAGCTATGTGTGGACAACTGAACTAAACTACTGGCTGATCAAGAGAACATCTCTAAACTCTGCTACTCACGTGTCAAAACCTACACGTAGGTATCCTAATCTATTAACTAAATTCCACCCACATTGGCTACTAATACTGATACTTTGTGGTGTCTTGCATTCTGCTGGCATCAGTGCAGACCCTGTTGCCCTTGACATTCCTGGCCAGACTTAATTCTATCAGAGCTTTAGCTTACTTTCCCAAGCTGATCCCTGGCTGCTTGGACAGTTTCTCTATGACAGGTTACCTGTCCTTGTTTCCACCCTCTATAGGCTTCCTTTTTGTGTCTGATTTTGTCCAGGAGCTCCTTGTTCCTCTATACAGGCCTCCTGGAGTTTTTGTCTCACTTCCTCTTTGTTGGGATACATCATTCCTGAGCCTGGAGGAGGTGATTCTAGAATATAAATTGGATCTAATGGGCCTCTCTTCACTCCAGGGCTTTGCACCATTGTACTCTACCAAGCAGATCCCTGGAAAGGCCAAAGTCTGCTCTTCTGAAGTCCCAGGTAGTGAGCTTGCTTCTCATTGCCCCAAGGATCTTAAACTCCACCATTACACAGTCACTGCAGCCAAAGCTGCCCTTGAGATTCCCATTCCCCACCAGCCCCTCTTTGTTGGTGAGAACAAGGTCCAGCATAGCACCTCTCCTTGTTGGCTCCTCTATCACTTAGAGGACATTTTCATCAACATATTCCAGGAATCTCCTGGATTGCTTACGCCTTGCTGTGTTGTCCCTCCAGCAAATATCAGGGTGATTGGAGACCCCCATGTGGACTGGGGTTTGTGAATGCAAAGCTGCTCAGTCTTCCTGCTTGGGCAGTCTGTAGCAGACCCCCACTATAATGTCACCTGTCTCTGCTCTCCCTTTAATCCTGACCCACAAGCTCTTGGTCAGCTCTTGGTCCATCCTCAAGCAGAGCTCCATACACTTCAGCTGGTCATTGATATAGAGAGTGACACCCTCTCCTCATCTCCCCTGCCTGTTCTTCCTAAAGAGTCTATATCCTTCCATTTCAACATTCCAGTCATCAGGTGTTCACCTGCTGACCTGTGATCCCTCTCCAGGCTCTGGACTTCTCTTGTGGGCACTGGCATCACATTGGTGAGAGTGGGATGGATTGAGGTTCCCCTCCCCTTTTAATTTAAAGCCTTCCTCACCAGGTGGGCTTATGGCTAAAGATGCTCTTCCCCTTCTCTGACAGATGGACCCCACCAGCCCCCAGGGTTTCTCAGTGTGAGTCCCATGGTCTGAAGCCCCTGAGCTGTGGCACCAGTCCTGTAGCATTTGTTACAGTAACATTGTAGCTCCATGTAAGAGACATTAACAGCTGTAGTCTGTGTTACTGCTCTACACAGAAGTCGGGTCTAAGGCTCAGCTTTGGTACAGAGCTACAATATTGTATTTCTTGAGGGACAGTAGATACGATATAGAATAATCTAAAAATTGTACAGAAATCTTTAAGCAGTGAAGACTTGATAAATTTTTTATTTCAATAATGTTCTTATAGAAAGGCAAATTTTCTAAAACCTGAATTCCTGAGGGATGCTAAGCTTTACAGCCAAGAAGACCTTCCCATTAGGATAGCAATGCTTGTTCCAGCTCCACCTTGCAGGCTTCCCCTAGCACTAATTGAACCCACAGCAGTGCACCCTAAAGGTCTCCCAGGGAAGAGAGACATTCAGTTTAGTTTTGGAGAAATTTGCATATGCCACAAAAAGTATCTGGTAGCTGCAGAGAGGAAATTAGGGTGGAGAGAACAGTGTATAGTTAACCTATCACATAATCTTCTGTTTTAATTACCATATTGGCAACTAGAAACACAAGTTGCCTTCTATGGCTACTTAGGACACAATGGATGAGAATGCAAGAACTCCAGCTTCTGGGAAACCAAATCTTTTCTTTCTCACAGAGCACACCAAGTAGAAACCTCTGACAGAAATCTAGCAGGATCCCTGACAGCTGCTGCCAAATATCTACAGATCTGTGAAAAAAGAATTCCACTACATTCTCCAAGAGAATATTCAGTGATCTGGCTAAATCCATTGTGAATTACCAAAATGACTGGCAATTACCTCAGAGAGGAGTCAGGCCCTTCTGGTCATTCCAGAAGTGCAACATTCCCTGAAAGATGTTAAGAATTAAAAGAAATCCTCCTTTTCAGGATGAGGTAACAATGAGGGACTTCTGCTCCAATGCTGAATGTCACTTTTCTCGTCTTTCATGTCACATTTGTCAGCTCACAAAGACCCTCTGTTCTGGCCAGGGCAACTTGGTTATTCAATGGAAAAGACTCCTAAGCCTCGTGAGGTCTCAGGAGTCTCCATGATCACTCCTTGGTGACAGGAAGTCCTGATACAACTGAGCCATAATTTGAAAATAAGGAGGAATATTTTATGCTGGACCCTTCAGGGACAACAATCTTTGTTGCTAGAGGTTTTGAGTTAGTACCAAGAATTAGGTCATTAGGCAGTGCTCACAGTTGCCAGGATTTGAAAAAGACATCAGAAAGTATTCCCAAGGGTTTATTTTCTGTTCTTTAAATATGCAGGGTTTAAATGGCGAAGATATCTTGGGATGGTCAGGGATACATCTATGCTGATTAGCACATAGTCCAGGGCTAAAAAATGATCTTTGCCACAGCTATCAAAACTACTAAAAGACAGTCTTTAAGACAGTCCCTGCAAGAAGAAAAATAAAATACATCAAGGAATTTCACAGCTAAATGGGGTATTCACAGTGACTTGATCATGTCTTACTGAATGGCTCAGAGGAACTGAAACAGTAACAGCTACAAAGTGAACTGTGCAGAACCTTGATAGGTTCAGTGAGAGTAAGAAAGTCATGTAAGAGGGGTTCACTCATATGAGTACAGATGAGAGAAAATATAAGGAAAATTTAAAAACTATTAACTCATTAATTATTAACTTATCATTAACTCAATATATTGTCAAGATTGCATTTCTCCCTCTGTTTAAACATAAAAATTTAACAAATATCTTAAATAATGTTTCTAGTTTGCCAGACACTTCAAAGGAAAAAATTCTTGGAGAATGGTTGTTGCATGACCTTGAATGCCCGAAATATTATACAGTATTCAACATAATTACTCCCATTTAGCAAACAAGTACTAATAGAATTGTCAAATCTTCCAGTCCTCTGTAAAAAACTGTGTTGAAGTTGGACTTCAGCTGAATGCATCATAGGACAGTATCATAGAATTATTTAGGATAGATGGAATCTATCCTGACCCTAGTATTTCACAAGCCCATAACAGTATTTTATTCTGTAAATTTTTCAAAATACCTATTCCATTTTCAGACTTTTTGGGTTCTCAATAATGCATCTTGTTCAAAGACTAAGAAGGGAGACAAATAAGCTTAAACTCTGTTTCTGAGACAGAAAGAACCAAAAAAGTTGAGTACAGAAACTACTACAAGATGAAGAACAAAAGTTAGGATGGCTATTCCTAAATATAGATGCTGCAACAGTAATGTCTGCTTTAAGATTTTTAGCACTGGACTAAAAACTGCATATAAGAAACTTTGTCAGCCTAGAAAAACCTCTATCCTGTTGGTTGCAAACCTACAATCTATTATTTTTATTTTGCACCAATTCTTTCTGAAAAACTTAAGAAATCAATAAAAGCTTAAGAAATCAGTAATTTTTTTAAATTTGAAAAAAACATTTTCTGAACTGAATCTTTTAGCACCATTTTTCATTGCCAATACAGACATACTGGTCAAGCCCAGCCCCTCTGCTTTTAAAATAAATGGTATCCATCTCAAACAGCTATATCTTAGTAACTTGTTAAGAGACTACCAAAATTCTCTCTGGATATATGCATGTCTGTTGCTTTATATATACAAACTATTCCATAACTGACAGTGTTCACAGAGATGGAAATATTATACAATTTATGCATGTTAACATCTGTAATCACTTGGTAATGATTAAAAAACTCTCTAGTCCAATTTTTTTTTAGAGATATGAAAAGATTTACCAGCAAATAATCCAGTAATCCCATTGCTAGCGACAACTTTCCTCATAACTGCCCAGGTTGATGTAGAGTCCCTCTGTGGAACTTAATATAGTACAAGACAACAGTGAATCAAGGAATCCATACATTGCCACGCAAGAATATTTTTTGAAATCAGAGAGTCACAGATGTAATTATTAGGTTTAGTTCCTTTTCTATTAATTTTATCCATTTTATTTACACAGTATGTTAAATCCATACAGTATGCAAATACACAAGTTAAAACAGCATGAGATGGAAACGTTTGTAGAAACACCTGGTGTAAGATATATGAACAGATACAATATTCCTTACAAGAATACAAATCCAGTGAAAAAAGTCAACTAGCTTTCAAATGAGCCATTCCCTCTCCGTGACACCTTACACATGCAGCTAAAAGATCATCACAATTCAGACTTTTAAATAAGAACTTGCTTTTCTGGTAAACTGAATCCAAAAGTAAGTTTTGAGAATTGTTATCATAAAAATGAATCATAAGATTGAATATAATAGTTAAGCTAGGACACTACACATTACATCTAACTTTACAAAAATCAAATCTCCCCTAAATTTATGTTTAAGAAAGTACAGCTCTAAGAAATGTGGATTGAAGTCCCTTATAGAGCTAAATCACATACCACAAGCAACCTAACAGCAGCAGCATCCAGAAGCAATCCGCATTCCAGACATATGCAATTATTTTAAACAAAGGAAATTTTCTGTGCTATTTCATGTACTGTTTTCTTTGATTTGAAATATGAAAGTGGCCAAGAAATTTTTTTTCTAGATGAAAGTTAAAGCAGTGTCATAGAATACATTCATCAGGAACATCCCACAGCATTTAGAAACTGCAAAATATTTTTGCAGCCACAGAGAGACAATATATAGATGCACAGTTAGTGTCCAACTCTAACAGTAACTGGATTTGGAAAGAATTCAACTGGTACAAATTAAAGATAACCATAATGAAATTCTGAATGTATATTAATCTGGTTAATATCAACCTAATAAATATATGGCAGCCACACGTGTTTCAAAGTGGTGTTAGCAATGAATTCTTACATTCATCAGCACAAGAAAAAGACTGAATCACAATAACTATTTATAATTTAAGCTTTTTTGATATTTTTCTATTCTGCAATGAAACATTGCTGTGTTTTTTCAAGAATTACACTAGAAGAAAATAATTTACCTGAGAGAATGAAACCTCATGCCAAAAAGTGAGGACTTAGTTTCTAAGCAGAAACTGTTCAGGTACTCAGCCTTTTTAATGGTCTGTAATCTTAAAGTCGTGATCTAACATTTAAGTTATTGAAAGTCCCTCACTGGTCCAGGTCCCAAGTAATGGAAAAAAAAAGTTTTTATATACAACTCGAATTCACATAAAGCACAGCAGTGCTCTACTGAAAGAACAGAACATAAACTTCCCCTTTCATCCTTTAAAGATGTTAGGACATTCACTAATATGCTCTCAAAAATAATTCTTTTGAAAGAACATGAAAAGAAGGTAAAAACACAACCTGAGAAAAGTGCTTTCTTTCTCTACCCTAATATTTATCAAAAGAATATTGTTATGAAGGAGCAAGTGGTAGTGAACGTGCAAACATTTTATCGTGTTATTTTAAAGTCTTTTTCAATAGATCACTGTTCACCTGAATGTTTTAGAAGTTAATTTTTTGCCTATTTAAATATAACTTACTTCAATCATAGAATTATGATTGGGTTGGAAGGGACCTTTAATGGTCATCTAGTCCAACCTCCCTGCAATAAGCGGGGACATCTTAAATTTGCAATTGGTCTGCCTAACTGTAATAGTTTTGAATTTATTTGTTGCAATTTTATACCATCTTTTTAAGCTCAATTGTACTGAACTCACACCTTTTCCCTTTTCCATGCCATTAATGAAATATTGTATTGTCCTATGAGATAAAAAGTATCTCATGGGATATTACAATTTGGAGAAGAAAAAAGGCCTGAGTGATAGAATTTTTAGATAAACTTCAGAGAAGAGACAAAAACTTAAAATTCCTACCAAAAGTCTATATACCCAAACACTAAGTTTTCAGAAACACTAATTTTCCCAAACCTTGTAGGTTTTTTTATTCTTACCAGCTACTTACTTTCTAAGGTCTCACTCTCCCAAAGTGCAGTCTGTCTATGTGTTTTCACTACGTCAAATGGCTGAGTTATGACAGCTGCAATCTATCAGGAAAAGAAAACAATTTTAATGTTAGTGCACAAACAAAATTTAATTTAAAATTTTAAATTAAAGTGCACACAATTGAAAACTAGATTCCATATTCCAAGCACATGATAGTATTAAGTCTTGTATGTCAGAACACCGTAATTTATTCAGATTTATCTAATCAGCTTGAATGCCAGGCCATGTGTGTTTAAAGTACACGTGCCCCAAAACATAAATTTCTGAGGGAATCACCTAAAATCATACCTCTTTTAAATAGGTTATTAGTGATAATAATAAAGAGTAGTACTAGAAATGAAATTATATACTTACAGAGCCAGATGCTGCTCCTGAAGTAAAAGCAATAAAAAATGTAGGTTCATGTCCACCAACTTGCTTGCACATCATCTTCTTGAAACGTTCATAATTATACCAGTACATTGCTATGATTACAAAAAAATAAACTTGCATTACAAGAGATTTTTATGTCAAATACAGAAATTCTTTCATCAAGTACAGATGTAAGAATTCTACTGTGGCAACAGAAGCCAGAAGAAACAAGAGCTGAAAGCATAATAAGTGTCCTCTGTGCTAACCCATGGACAGATTGCCCTGTTCCCCTTATCTCCATATCCCAAATTTCTTCATATAATACAAATTAGCCTAATCATTTTGTCCTTCCCTCAAGTAACCCCTATCTTAATACAATCTAAACCAAGCACTATAAAACTCACATTCAATTTAATATAAATTAAAGTGTAGGCTTATTATTCACTATGTTTTCAGGCATATTTCACATTTTCATCAGTCTCACTAATTTTATAAAAATGTGTCTCATGCAAAATGAAAGGTTGCTCAGGACTGCTTCATACTTTTCTGAGGGACAGAGTGTAAAATTTAACTCTGAGAGAACCAAAAAGTACAATTTTGCTCCTTGGAATTACTAAGAGGAGAATGCCTTTGTGAAGACTGTCAAAGACAAGTCTGGCAAACAACTTTAAGGAACAATATCTGTTTCTTTGACTGCCTGCTGAACTAAACTGCACTCTTTCTGCTTTCTAATCAAAACTCCAAGCTATATGCTACCAGGTCCAATTATAGAGTCAATTATGGCAGCTGGTCAAGTAAATACTTCAAATGATGGCTGCACATCCTGAAAGGTAACTGTGCCTTGGTCAGCACTGAGTTCTGAAGGCTGTGCCAGCAGAAAAAAGTATTTTCTTGCCACAAAGACTGCCAGAACATGTGTCTGGCCTCAATCATTTTGCAAAAGCAAAAGTAGGTAGTATCTCAGAAGGCATTCTCAGGGTTTGAGGAAAACCTACTACTGAAATGTACAAACCCCTAATTTAATATAAATTATCTAAATCCAAAACTTTGCTTAAGCACCTACAGGACTCATTTCCCTGAATATCTTTTATATTTACATTGTCTGCCACACTACTTAAAGAATGACTCAAGTATTATTGTTAACCCAGTTCTTGTGTTTATAAAGATTCACAGCTCAAGTTTTATTCAGTCTAGCTAGCATCCCAAGGAACATGCTTGAAGCATATCATGAACACTTGGACTCGAACACAGTGGGATTCTAATTACCCTGTGCTGCTTAAGACATGTTGTACTGCTTGACTGTTTTCACAGAGGAATGACTTTTTCAATACAAATTGTTACACTGATTTTAATTCTTGAGATAGCTAACTTGAGCTACCTGCAGAAAAGCTGTAAACTGTGCTGTAAGAATACTAGAGACTGCAATGCTGTGGGGGCATCATTCAAACTTAAGAGCTAAGATTGAATGCATTAAGGCAGCTCAACATAACAGACAAAGTATTTATAAGAAAAGAATTATCAGAAAACACATTTGAAAGAGATATTAGGCAGCAATAAACACCCTTACCTTTTAAAATCAGAGTTCTGTGGCATTTAATTTTTTTTTTTTTTTAAAATACATTGTCCTTTACTCATGCATCTACTTGCCTGCTCACTTTTGGCTCTTTAACAATAGTTCTCAAGCTATAAGGCAGTAGCTATAAGGCAGTGAGACCCCTGGTGGCCTAGTGGTTAGCGTGCAGGACTTTCACTGCTGCGACCACGGGTTCAAATCGCGGTCTCCTGGCCTGATGGAGGTCGTTAGCCCTGTGAGGCCATCCATCTATGAGAAGGACACTCTAAACAAACCTACGTCCTGAGGACCTCACTGCCATTGTCCAAGCTTGCTTGGCCCCGGCAGATGAACCTTAGGATTAAAGGGTGGGCTCAGTTCAGCGCACGCTGTGTCTCACCTAAAAAATCCATTGCGCAGGCTGGAAAGGTAAAAGACCTTTCCCCAAATCTTCGTTCGCGAAGATGGGCCATTATTTATAAATAAGGCAGTAGCTGTATGTTAACTTGTGCCTCTACCTTTTCAGCATCCCATGATACCTATGAAGTACTGGGGACAGACAAGCGCCCACTGGCTGTGAAGTGAATGCCAGAGCAGTGTGGAGACTGAGTTAAAATAGACGAGCATGTTTTGGATCAGTGGAGGAACAGCAGGCATGGACGCAAGAATCTAAAAAGGCCTGAAAAGAACACACACATCACCTTAGTGCTCTCTTCCTTGTGCACTCCCTCACAGTGCTCTGATCTTCCCCCTCTGTTAAAAGCCGCAGAGGGAAGGAAGCTCCAGCCACACTGGTACAGACAAAAATCAGTAAGAGAACAAGAGTTTCTACTTCAAGTCAGACAACAGGGATTAGATGAAGAGTTCCCTTACAAGTCTTAGCAGAACAGCCTAAGAGAAAGTTGAGTTTGGCAGAGAAGAAAAATAAGTAAATTAAAAAATAAATATTGAACAGGAAGCACTTTGGACTAAAGGTTCTCTGAATTCTGACAGTTATCTTTAGCCTTAGTGAAACCATGTTGTCGTAGGTAAGGAAGCCTTCCCTATCAGAGAAGGCTAAATTAAGTCCTATCAAAGAACTGGATCCTGAAACAGGAAATACATTCCAACCATGATTTTCAATCACCTCCCAGTAGCTAAGTGAAAGAACACAAGAGTATTATACATTCTGGAAAGAATACAGCTTAAATAACTCAGTTTACTCACTTAATTGACAACTGCAATTTTTAACTAAATATCATAACCACCCCACACTTATCATGTCTTGGTTTGGTTTACAACCAATTGAAAATTTACTCCAGGTACACATCCAAGTGTGCTCAAATCCCATAACAGTCCACACCAATGACTGGCCCTCTAGATTGCTTGGAAACACAAATTAAATTAAATGTCAAACTATCTTAAGACTGAAGTAGGAGAACAAAGACAGCAGGTCAAATATTTCAAGGGTTCTCTGACTTCAAAAATAGGTTAGAAGAATTTTTCTGAGGCAACATCAGGTGTTCAAAGGTGTCATTCCTGCTACTATCCAAATGACAGAAACAGCTTCAAGGACAATTGATGTCTGCTCCACAAGTGCTCTGACAAAAGCGAGCCTCAAAGAGACAGGGGCTTTTACCACTGGCATTAACAGGTGCATTAGCAGTCTGCCCTGTAACATCTGTCCCCTCTATCTTAAGGAGAGCCCTAGGACTAGTTATGCTCTGAATCAGACTTTTTTTCTTCTGGGCTTTCAGCTTTGGAGCTTTGCTAATGAGTGGTGCTCTACCTTCATGATTTCTGGACCAGTTATAGAAACTAATTAATCTTTATTCAAAAAAATCCTGAAGACACTACTGTGTCACTCTCTGTACATGTTTTCAAAATTAAGTAACAGAACACTTACATAAAGGATGTTTATCAGAAAATAGCCACTATACCTATTACAAAGAAAATTTCCTACTCAAAGTCTTCAAAACAGTCATTGTGTAAGCTAAAGATGAGAAGTAACAGACTAAGTACAGAGAAAGGGAATGTAACAATGAACGCTATCAGGTTCAAAATGGGAAAAATCATGTCCTCAGCAAATTTATAAATAAAAGCACTCAAAACAGAACGAATCAATCTCAGTCATTCCTAAAGCTAACCATTAAAATTACATAAAAGCACAGAAACAGACTAAGTTATGCATAAACATATCTTCTGCCATAACAAAAACCCTGCATGGAAAATAAACCCTACCTGAGAAAGGTATATCTCTCAGAACAGTAGAACTCCAGCCTCTCCACAGTGAAAACCACCCATCTGCAGCCACTTGAGTGCTGACGCACAGGTACAGCTGCTTGTAGGACAACTTGCGATGCTGCATTCTAGTTCTGATCAGCTCCAGGGGACTCACCACAGTGAGAGAACTGACTGCAAAGGAGGAAAATGCCTTTTTTTCAAATCAGCATTTAATAGTAACGTTTCCTGAACATTAAAGTCACATCTCACCTTGCTTTATATATTTGATTCTTTTCAACTCTCCGATTTCCCTTTTCCGTTTTCCTTCTCAAAATAAGTTTCCTTTCCAGATAAGAGCATCACATCTATTCACAGTACCTACACTTTCCGGTTTAGGGTTTTTTTCAATACTGGCCTATTGTAATCGTGTTAAGAATCCTCATTTTCAGATTAAATACATAAATAGGCTGAAAATTTCAAGTACTTATAAACATTAATTTTCAATAATTGCCATTTCAAAATGTAATTTGAAGAAAGTGAGCTCGGGGTTTAAGGCTTTTTTTGTGTTAAGGACAAAAATAGTTGTTAGAGATTAAGCTTTTATTGATCTCTAAGCACCCTTGCCATTCTTATTTTAAACTCTCAAGAATAATTAGCAGGCCATCTGTATCCGATAAAGTGACTCTTTGAGCTTGCACAATGGTCAGTGAGTCATGACTCAATAACAAGCTCCCATCACACATGTAATAGACGTTAACAATTTTACTAGATCCAAGAACTTTTCTTCTGTTGCTAGGATAAGGTTTAACATGTGAATTTAAAAATCTGGAACACCCTAATAAGAGCAATTTGCCACACCACCACAGAATAGCAATTTTTTTCAACCAGTCTTCCAGTGTCCCCATGGTTGTCATAAGTAAAATATGTAACTACATCATCAGACTCTTCTAAGAAAGCCCTAAAATATATGATTTGTGTTACTTCTACAAAAATAGATGAGGAAAAGGCTAGTAAGAAAATATAAAAGCACATTCAGTCCACTTCACATCATACAGCAGTAAAACCAGTCCAATTCTAAAAGAAGTTCAATTTTCATTTTCCTATAAATACCTGTGTAGTTGCCATTATAGAAAATAATGATGTTTATTGCTAGATTCATGACAGAACAGACTTAAATTAAACTGTACTTGGTAGAAGTCTAGAAATATAAACATAAAATTTTGAACAAATTACAAATGTAGTAAAAGTGTAACAGCAAAACCAAATCACACTATTCCAAGTTACAGAGTTTTGTTGCCCAAGAAATAGTGGGTAATTACAGTATTCCTTCCGATCCCTCATTTAAAGCGATGGAAAATTTACCTTAAATAAAAATCAACAAAACAGACCCAAGAAAACAGCATACAGGTATTGCATTTCAGTTTTCTCTTTAAACAGGTGAAAACTTACATCTGCTTAAGGAACCTGCAAGAACTGGAATGTATTCATCACCCTTTTTCAGTCTGTATTTCAAAGCTTCACGCAGTTGGTCATAGAGGGTAAAATAGATCATTGCGTTAGGAAGTGCCATTATTCTAAAATACAAGAGACATAATTTAAATTTATACCAGGAAAGCAGAAGAATAAAGGCAACTGTCTTGTATGGATATTTTACATATATTAAAAAAAAAGTTAAATCTCCAGCTGTGCGTTATGGATGAAGAAAAAGCATAAATCCCGTGGCTTTAATTCACTGCCTCCAGTTCAGATTTTCAATCCACAGTTTTCCTAGGTTTTCATTTCATTAGGAGAAACTATAAGTAAAATGATGGTGGATTATCTTACCCAAAATTTATTTCACATCAGCTTCAGAACTATTTTGATAAAGAAATGGAAGTGAAAGATCTGAATATGAAGAAACCAAATAAAACATTACAGGAGTGCTACTAACATTAAATTTTTATTTATTTAACAATTGGAGATTATTTTCTTTGTCTTAGTAAACAGTTATGATTCTCACTACTTGAGAGACAATGTAGTATTCATAAATACAAGCTATTTCCATTGCAGCACAGTACAGAGTATAACAGCAACAGTGAGATCTAATAATCATTCAGTGTAGGGATAAGGCACCACATCTTACTATAAAATGGCAAGTACATTTTTGTGTTATGTCCATACCAATGTAGCATGCACCACCATTACCAAAAAACACTGAGGACTGTCATGCTTGGAAAACTAACAAGCCATAGTTTAAATCTCTTAAAAACTGTGTACCTTTCTCCAATCAAGAGGCTAGTTTTCTGCTGGAGAACAAAACACATGTTGAATAAAAAAATTGTATTTATTTAAATAGTTCAGTCAGGTCCTAAAGGTTTATATTTTTAAATTGCCATATACTGCAGGATAAATAACTATGTTGAGCTTCACCATCCTTTTCTTTCTTGTGTCTATACACTGAGCACTGTCTGCAAATCAAAAACATGTGGACCACTGCTTTCCTTCTGGGCCGCACTTCATGTCTTACAAGATACAACTTCTAACATACATCTTAGATTTGATTACTCTCTTGGTTTATGGAAGAAAACATAATTATAGAGGTCTTAATTTCTATCTGTACCAGGTTAATATGAATAATATGTAGAGAGAAAACAGGTTATCTGTTTTCCACTACAAAGTCAGATAGGATAAAAACCCCAACAAAGTTCTTTAAAATAAAGATGATGGTTACAAGAATTAAATGAGGGTAGTGAGGTGCAACACCAGAGCATCTGGAAACAGCCGTGCTGCTGATGGAAAGGCATTAGTAACAAGATAGAACAGTATGTTTTTGTCAAAAACTGTCATTCTTTAGTGATCACCTTCCATCCACCAAAGGAACGGTTATTGTGAAGATACCACCTGTAAAAGGCACAATGAGAATTCTAATGTTCTGGCTTAACTACTGAGAATATATCAGAAAACTCTGGAGATCTGGCAAAAATTATACTGTCCCTAGATGTTTCTGATTGAACTGATTGCTCTGTAACTTCAGAATTGAGTGAATTTTTAAAATAACTTAGAAACACACATAATAATTTATCTAAATAATTAAGTAGTTTTTTTAACAATAACTCATGTTACCAAAACCAGAACATTCAACTTACAATGTTGGAGGAAGCCCACTCCACAGTGACTTAATTCCCTCTATTCGAATAATTTTCACAAATGCATCCTAAAAGTGTAACCAGGCAAAAGGAAATATTTAGCTACAAACTTTTGTAGTCAGTAATATATTTCAGCTGGCAGAACACACATCTTTAAAAATATGTTTCTAAAGTGGTTTATCACTGTAAGATAGCTTACACTAGCTATCATTTTTAACCACACAAATAGTTCCACTGAGCTGAACAGAATAATTTGTGTGAATGAAATTAAGAAGTTTCTTCCATCTTTAAAAGACCAAAGTAATAAGTGTTTGTCTGTGACTGAATGCCCTGTGAAGAAGTTACTTTCAGAACTAATATGGCACTGCAGCAACTTGTGGAAACTTCCCCAAAATAATTGACTAAAATATTTTTCCAATACATAACAAAGATTCTAGGCATGAAATAGCAATTAATTCTTAATGACTTTTCAATACTTGCTTTCTCTGACAAAAATGTGACAACATATATGCAATGTATACACACTATACTCTATACTTGGAAGCTTGCAGCTATTATTACACCTGTCCAATATATTCCCAGGTGACCTGAAAGCATCATTAAAAAGACAAACTCTCTATTATTAGAATACCTAGTTTTCTTAAACTTTTGGGGGAAAAGGTTGAGATTTGATGGATTAGAATATGCTTAAGACCAGACATTATCGCAGGGCCTCAAAACAGTCTGACAGATCACAAAAGGGACTTCTATGAAGATAAGGGCAAATATCTTCACAGGAGATAGTCTTGATGGACTAGTCCATTGAGGTAAAAAATGGAATGGGGAAAACAAAGACATGATTTATTAAAACAAACCTGACTAGTAAAAATGGAGCTTTGAGAGAATCCCTGAAAGGTCGTAATGTGGTTGGACAAAAAAACCCCAACTTCTATACTAGTTAGTTAATATGCTTATAATCCAGCTTCATTTATGCCCATGAATTTATGGGCATAAATTCATGTCAAATAAAAAACTAAGTGACCTTCTAAAATTATATAGTAAAGCTAACTGAAAAAAAAAATCACACTTGTGAACTTATTAATTAAAAAAAAAACACTGTAGAACTGCTGAAGACACCTTTTGCATTAACATCTCATTTTCAGAAATTTAATTCTGAAAAATCCTTGATCACAGGTTTAATTTAATGGCAGAGCCATACAAAATCTTGATTAATGAACCAGCAGGACAGTGTCTGACAGCAAGTCTGTTTCAAGTGTCTGGGAACATGCCAGTCCTACAAATTTCAATGGATAGAGAACTTGACACATGAACTTGACTTTAAAACACTATCTGCATTGTTACTTCAGCTCAGGAGCATACTGGGACACAGAAGAGTGTGAGCAGGTAACAGAAAATCATTACCTGCAATCAGCAACTACTGGCAATACAGCTCAAGTGGGGACAATAAAATCATAGAGCCAGTAATCTGTGAGGAAAGCTGTGCATCCTTGTTCATCTTAAGGAAGGAATACATATTTTATTATAGAAAATAGGAGGTATCACTAATCAACATATAAATTACACAGTGTAGCCACACAAATTTCCCTCTAGAATAATAACAGACTCCAGAAGAACCCCAAAAAACCCCAATAATTTTATAGTATGCTACTTAAAAATGTACAGTTTTATATACATGTAAAATGTTCTTACCAATGTCCCTTTGAAATTCCCAGGTTTTTTATACCAGGCTTTGCTGTTCCCATTTTCACAAACACATATATGATCCATAAGGCCACTGGAGTATACAAAACATTTTCCTAATAAAATGGTGTATAAGAATAAAGTTAATGCTTGTAAGATCATTCTTACACAGCAGCAATTTCAAATATATAATGGCAATACAGATTTATCTCTGATTAGACACAGAGGAGCAAAATAATCTTGGTCAGTAACGACAAATTAGTTAAAAGGAAAAAGGGCACAAATGTACTCCCCAGAGTGCCAGACTAAATGGAACTGCCTTCATAAGGCTCCAGGATACATGTTTATGTTACACTACCATCTGCTGAAGGCTAAAAGCAGCACAAGACCCGAATATCACTATTGTATCTAACTGTGAACGTGTTTCAGACTTCAGAATTTTTATTAAGTAGCCTAAGTATCCACATTACAAGTGGAAGTATTATATCTTAGGCTGGACTGTATTTATATTAGATCATCCTCTCTACTTGTTTTTTATTTCTTCTGCCTCATGTACTCTGAAACTGTTTGATAAAATATTATTGCCATTACAAAAACATACTTTGAGCCTCACATTTTCAGATTTCTGGCTTTAGAATTTACTAAAAATCAGGATAGAAGGCACAAGGATTTTTCCTACTTTACAGCAAGTCTGACTGCAAGTATTCACCTCAACATTCAACATGCAACACTAGTCATCTTCTTTCCTTTTAAATTTCATTTATCACATATAACTAAATAGTAGGAACCAATAACACGTTTTTGAGAGCACAATGTCTTCATGTATTTAAAACCCAAGTGGCAAGTGACTTCTGTATTTCACAAATCTCTAGATTTTGGAGAAGATAAACTTTGATATAGCATCCCAACCACATAAGCCCTCTGATATAATATTTACTTATTTATTAATAGCTTTTTATTTTTTAACTCAACTCGGTATTAATTGTACCTTCTGCCATAATAAAATATTAAGAAAGATAGGGGGAAAAAAACCTGTTTAAAATGGTAGGTATTGATGGGATTTTTTTCTCCACTGTTCACTGGCACATTCTTTCTTTAGCAATTTCAGTATATGTGTTGCTTTTTTCCCCACTCACTTACACTGAAGAAACAAACTCACTGTTGTGAAACTTACACAAACATTCTGCACCTGAGCAAAGGATTATGACAACTATCTGCTAAATACACTAGCAAAAAGCAACCTGTGTCCCCCATTACACTACATATTGTTTACCTTTAGGGAACGGACTGCTTTGGGCTTGCAGTCGAGTTTTGACAACATCAAGAGGAGATACTAAAATGAAACAGAAGTCATTTAGAAATGCCCTGCATGGCCTGAAAATGCAGAAGTGTACAGATGCCTTATCATTAACTTCTACCTTTTTTTTTTTGCCAGAGGAAAAGAAGAGACCAGTTTTACAATGTAATCAGGCAGAGGAAAAGGAGATGTTAGCAGACAGAGGCAAAGAACTACAAATCCTGTATGGTTTGCAAGCAACCAAATATATCTTTTCTAATGTACTAACAGTTGTGCAGGCATCAAATGTTAGAGAAACACAAAGATCATCTAAAAACCCTTGTGTCATCTTGTTTGAAATTGCTAAAACTTACTACATTATGCTCTGCTGCTAAACTTTTATAAGTAGAATACCACTAGGCATATGAGATCAGATTTTGGACTCCAGCATGTAAAATAGCACAGCATTCTTCATGTGTTTATTCTTTCTCAATAAACTGACCGTAACAGCAACATTCAAAAGAAAAACGTTAAACTCATGATGTACATTTCTTTTTTTCTCCATGTAGACAATATCTAGAAGACTGAGGCTGTTGATAAGTAAATGAAAGTTCAGTGAACATTTCATTGCTTCCACTCCAGCCCTTACAATTTTTACAGGCCTAGACATGCTGAACTTCACAGTGGCTGGGCAGCTGGACCACAGTCTTATTTTATTGACCCAGGGCTCAATTCAGTTGCCTACATATAAGCAGCTAGTGCCATCTGAGTCTCTAAGGTATCCAAAATACCTACTCAGTTGACAGAAATGACACAGGACCTACAACCTTACTTACCAAGTGGCAGCTAAAGTCTAAGTCAAACACACCAGCATGTGTCTCACTGAAACATTACTGTGCACAGGCAACGGAGTTACACCTTAGCTCTCCATTGATGCCTCTCAGTTCACTAACAGGCGGTGAATACTTGGCTCACATTTCAGTATCTAAATGTAGGGATCTCAATGTTACTGCCGCAGTTCAATTAAGTTGCTTAAAATTTGTCATCCAGTAGCATTTTAGCCACTCACAGATACTTTTGCTTGTCTCCAGGAGGCACTTCAGAAAGGAGTAGGTCTCCTATACCTCTCCTACATCTCTCTTGAATACCAGCACCTTACACTGTACTAGAATTGTGTGTATGTACCCACAACTGAAATCCATCTTGGGAATACCACAGGTCTGATGTAGCTTTGCTTGGTATTTTACCTAACGTCACAGGACATGTGGTATAAAGACAGAACAAAAAGACTATGAATTTGACAGGTTTCCGGTAAGATACTATTTTGTAAACATTTGGAAATTTGGGGGAGGGGGAATCGTGCTTAGAAAAGAGACAGGAAGTGCTGAATCTAACCAACCAATGACTCCTTAGGTTTGCATGCGGAAGGAGGTCCTCAGTGAGATGACTGAACGTGAAGTAGAGAATTAATTCCACCAGCTATCCAGAAGATTAAAAGAGTAATAAAAAGCTATTATTAAAAGCAATGTTTAGAGAAAAAAACCAAAACCAAACGAAACCCAACAATAAAAGGTTTTGACAGTGTAAGACATCACAGCAGCACAAATTCTTACTACTTAAGTGGTAACATGCAGGAGACATGTCACAGTAGCCAGCCTTGCAGGATTTGTGTCTTGTGTTGTAAAGTAGACTTTTATTTAATACATTTTTTTAAGCAGCAGGAAACATGAAAATTATTTTTATGGATAATTTTGTTTCTTCTAGACAAAAAGCAATTAATAACTACACTAAGAGCAAAAAAGAAAAAGAAATTAAAAGTTAATAAATATCATTCTTAGTTTCAGAAAGGGTTAAAAATTATTAGGGACAGAAAAGATTTCAACTAATCACATTTTTTAAAACATACACAAAAAAGAAAACGATCCAAAAACATCCTTGCCAAACATATTAGTGGAAATATATATGCAGACATATACTCTTACAGAAGAGTAATCACTTGTAAAGATTCTCTCTGTGGCAAGCTTGATAGTTTGCCTTACCAAGTAATGAAGTAATTATAGCTCCACAACAAGAGGCCATTGCTTGCTGAATAATGGTTGGTTTTTCTAAGTTGCTATCACTCATTTCAGTCATGGCTTTATCCCTGGAGAAGAAAAACCTGTTAAGGAACAGAAAAACATATTACAAGACTATGCTCAAAACTTGCAGAGAAAAAAAATCAAGGGAAAAAAATATTTTAAATTTTCATTAATGTGCTATGTATAAGCAGCAATATTAGTTTTCTCCTTGTATAAAAGCATCTCTGGAATTTCTGAGATTAGAGATTTGAGCCATGTTTTGTAAGTTTTCTAAAGACAATAAATTTTTTAAATCACTCTTACACAAATTCCAACATTTATATGTTTTTGTAAAACACATTAAATCTTTAATATGTATTACCTTTTGCTGCAACAAAGCGTTTAGGAACATGTAAATAATCCACACAGAGATAAATTCCCAGCCTGCGGCCCATAAACTGTAGCACTGCAGAATAATTCATCCAGCCCTCCTTTTGCTCCCGTCACTCCTGTGAGAAAATCCAGAAAGGTCTCCTGGTTGATCCAGCACTCACAGCCTGCTGGTGGTGACTATACTCTGGCAAGCTACTCACGTAAGAAACAGTGACTAACTAGTATTAATGCTACTATCAAATACTAATTCCTGAAATCCTGCTGTACGGCTGCAAAGGCATGGTCACAACAATTTAGGAACACGCAATATCTGCAACTAGCCAGGGCAGAAGAGAATAAAAATATTTCACAATACAAAATCCCCAAATAAAGACATATCTCTTAAAATGCACGTTGTGCGTAAGTGCAGCCTTAGCTTTATTAGCTGTCACTGATCTAAGTTTTTTATCTGCTCTACAGAAACATTATGCCATGCTGTTTTCATCAAGTTTCAAGTAAAAGATAAGAAAGCTTAAGCTGCATAAAACAAGACTTGTCTCTCAGGTGCTAGCAACTGTTAACGAGGGGTGTCAGCGGGGAAGAAACTGGCTTTCTTAATGTATTTTTAACTTAGAACATCACTGCCCAGAGTAGCGCACATACATACCCGTTTATGAGCAGCGCCCGGGCCGTGCTCACCGCGGACAAAGCTCTCCGGAATCCCAACGCGGTACCTCAGGTGAGGCGAGGAGCGAAGGGGGTAGGCACTCCTGCCCCGCCTCCCCACCCACGGCCGCCAACCTCCTGTCACAGGGCCTCCCGCCCCGAGGCCTCCTTCCCTCCCTTCCCTCCTTTCGCCCTCCCCTCGCTCCGCCCCGGCCCGGCCGTTGGCGGCGGCGGCGGCGGCGGCGGCTCCGGGCTTGCCGGAGGCGGGAAGGGTGGTGAGGGGGGTCCGGGCAGCCCGCGCTGACCTCGTAGGTGGCGACGGCCGCGGGGCAGGGGAGGATGTGACCCAGCGGGAAGATGAAGCCGAGCGCTGCCGAGGCCGCTGACAAAGCAGCTCGTCCCCGTAAGCGGCGGGGTCTGGGGGCGGCCGGGGGGAGTCTCAGGCCTCTCCCAGCGCCAGCAGGGTCCGTTCAGCCGCGGCCTGGGGCCGGGGCGGCCTTCCCGCCTATGGCTTTGTCGTGGTTTGGGGAGTTAAACGGAAAAGCGTGGCCTTGGCGCTGACTCGTTCTCTTTTACAAGATAATCGCGGGGCAGGGAGGCCGTGGGGTGTCTGGGAAATGGCCGGGCCGCTGCCGTGCGAGCCGCCCCCCAGGGCAGGTCTTTGCTGGTGTCGGGAGCACGAGAGGCTCCCTAAGCCCGCGGTGTGAGAGCGCGGCCGCTTTGCGGGAGAGGCTCCTCATTGTTATTGCAGGCCTACTGAGCCGCTCCGAACTTTCGATCATCTCCGGGAAGTTTAAAATGCATTCTCCAGTGTTAATAGTGTTTAATGTGTTAATTTTTAAACTGCCCTGGTCATCTACAGAATTTCGCTTGCACGCCTGCGTATCATCCGTTTTTTCCTTTTAGATTCTGGATCACTTACACCAGCTTATGCCTCCCCATTTTCCTGTTTCTCTAGGTTTTTTTTTTCTACTAGGTTCTACAAAGCTAACTGCTGTTCCTGCCCCACTTAGTGTGTTCATAAACAGAGAATCTTGCAGCACGAGTGCTGGTTCTGCTCCCTCTCCTATCTGAGAGTGTTTCAGGGACGGAAAGAATACTTTACAGAGGGACTGTTTTGCATGTTGGCTTTTTGTGTCCAGAAGAGGCCTGCTCACTTCCTTTCGCAGCCCTCATTGTCTTGGTAGCAAATACTTGCCAAACTGGTGAGAAAATTGATAGTATTGTATGGCAACTGAAATTAAAAGTTCATTATAGGATATTATTTCAAGGAGAAACTTTTAAGGGCCATATGAGGTATTATATTAATGTTTGGGTTTTGACATGTTTACCATAATAGCTGTTTTTTAAAAGTCCTATTAAAGTCCAGGCTGGATAGGGCTTTAAGCAACTGGTCTCATGGAAGGTGTCCCTGTCTATGGTGGGGGATTGAAACTAGATGATCTCTAAGGTCCCTTCCAGCCCAAGCCCCATTGTATGATTCTGTGGAAGCTTGCCGTGTCCATTACCATAACTTAGGAATTTTCTTAAAAAAAAAAAAAATTCTGTTTAAATTGCCTTTTTTTTCCCCAGCAGATGGAATACAAGCAAAAACAGAAAAGATACGATCTTCTCTCAAGAATGTGAAAAAAGATACAGGAAAACCAGAGAAACTTAAATATAAGCCACTAACTGGGAAGGTGTTTTACCTCGATATCCCATCAAATGTGATCTCTGAAAAATTAGGAAAGGACCTCAAAGAACTAGGAGGGGTAAGTTTATAATAGAGCCCTATATGAATCTAGAAGAAAATCTGCACATGTGGAATGTTTCTTTCATGTTCTTTATGTTATTTGTACTTTATAAATAATGTTTGATGTTATTTTTACTTTATCTGTCAGGGAATTTTATTTTTCTGTGTTTGTCTTAATGTTTAATACAAACAATGAACTTATCATTAAATTATTCTGTGTTTTTTTGAGAGAAGCTGCTTTGCTGATTGTAACAAAAGTGTTTATTATTAAGGTTTGTGTTCAGTTGATTATTCACTTGGCTTAAAATTTTATCCAAGTTTATTAAGTTTCATTGTTTGAGGTGATTTTTTTTCTGCTGCTTCTGACTATATTGACATTTTTACATGTTACAACTAATGTTGTTCAGCTGAACCTGAAAGAGATTAAAGGAAGAGTTTTGCATATGCTTACTGTAAGTCAGTAACTAAGTACTTTTTACACAGGGTATGTTAATGAGTATTTTTGAATACTCTTATTTAAATAATAAATTTTATAAGCATCTTACTAATTTTTTTTCCTAATTCTCTCTTCTGTATGGAAGAAACTTCAATACAAGCAAGTACAGGATATGATAGTAACACAAGCAGTGCAGTTGCTTAGTTCACTTTAAAGTTGAATATTTGAATTGATGTAGAGAAAACTTGGCCGTTAGAGAATTAAACACCCTTTTAAGCACAGAGGCAGAAGGGATCTGCTTAAATTGCTAGCTATTTTGAATGGTGCTTTGGCAATTGTTCTTTGACCTCAGAGGAACACTGAGCAGCTTTATGAAATTGATGCTTGTAAATCAAGGTGCTATCTGAAATCACAGGAGCGGTAAGGAATAGCAATAACATGGTTTCAAATTAAATGCATCATTTTACATTTACGTCAAATAAGTGCACTCTGTCTTTTGTCTTTCTGAGAGAGAATTTTAGGAGTTCATATGTGAAAGGTAAGGTTACAAATCACAGACTGGAAAGGAAGTTTTTCTGGCTTACTCTGAGGAGTAAATACCTCAATCTGAGGTGCTCTAACACCCTCAAGATCAATTACCACGTGTTTTGTTGCTGCTTGTGTGGAGTGCACTCAAAAGTGCCTCTCTGTATCCTGTTTCCGTAAAAGGTGCGTAGAGCAGCATTGAAAGGCACAGTTTCAAGCTTGCTGCCTGTGTGATTTGTGCTTTCCAAGCTGATGACTTGAAGAGAGGAAAATACATTAAGCTACATAAGCTGACAAGAAATAACAAGGCAAATAGCTGATAATCACACAATAGTTAGCAATGAAAGACTGAAGGAGCAAAATGGAAGAGAACAAGCATAGGGTAACTGCATGCTTATATTGCTGAGTATGAGAATATGAATCTACTAAAGACTACCTTTTTGAGAAGTGTCATGAATACTATAGGTGTGAAAAATGGTAACTCTCCTGAAGTTTTAATTTTTCTGCTGGTTCTGAACTCAGTAAATTTATAGCTTCTTGCAGACTAAAATACATTTGCATGCACATGACTTTTAAGTTTAGCTGAGCGCTTCTGTGTAATTTCTGTTACATAAAATTATGTAGACAGTGGTTTTCCTTGAATTATTCTATTATTCCTCAATGCAGTGTTTGATTTTTTCTATTTGGAAAGTATTGCAGCTAGATAGTCCAAAAATGATAGTAACCAAAACATTGCAAGGCTATTTTGATAAAGATTACAAAATTAAGAAACTGAACTTATAATTTGTGACTGGTAAGATTCTAGTGCAACTCAATTTTTACATTTAGAAAATATCTTCTTGTTAATTCAATGTTTTTGTACTTAGTTATTCTAGAAATATTATTACTTCTCTTTTAAATATGCAGTGTAAAATTTGAGGTACTGATCCTATGTCCTGAAATGGTTACTTGTTTTGTATCTCTATATTTAGAGGGTGGAGAGTTTCCTTAGTAAGGATATCAACTATCTGGTGACTAACAAAAAGGAGGCAAAATTTGCACGAACTCTTGGCCAGATTTCTCCTGTTCCTAGCCCAGAATCTGCATGTATTGGAGGAAATGGTTCACCTCATCCTAGCAACCGAAAAGATCAACGTGATGGAAGTTCATTTAAGTTGGTAGATACAGTAAGTTTCTTAGTAATAATATTGCAGATTGGGTACAACCCATGGGATATGGTCTTAGAATTTTCCTTCTCTTTAATTTCCTAAAGATGGCAGCAGTTCTTTGAGTGAATAAGGGTTTTTCTTTCAAATATACTTTTCAAGTTATTCAGGTTAACTTGTTAAATTTAACTAACTCAAACTAATTCAGCAGAGTTTGAGAAACTAATTTTAAAAAGGAGCCTTTTTTACAAATAAGCAGAGTACACTAAAGTCCGTTCTAAGGTAATATGTCTGACTTAAAATATTGACATTATTATGTTTGACAGCTGGATCAATGTGGATAGACACGTGATGGCATCCAGTGATTCCTCTCTCTTTAGAAACACAGCCTAATAAAGTCTGACTGATGTGTTGTTAATGCAGATATCAACAGAAACACTCTTTGATAGTAGTTCAAAGAAATAATTAAAATTGAAGATTATGACTACTAAGCTTTTTTGAGCTGTTTCTTAGAGGATCATGTTAATTGCATGGGGACCCCTGGTGGCCTAGTGGTTAGCATGCAGGACTCTCACTGCTGCGACCACGGGTTCGAATCCCAAGTCCCCCGGGCAGATGGTAGCTCGTTAGCCCTGTGTGGCCATCCATCTATGAGAAGGTCACTCTAAACAAACCTACGTCCTGAGGACCTCACTGCCATTGTCCAAGCTTGCTTGGCCCCGGCAGATGAACCTTAGGATTAAAGGGTGGGCTCAGTTCAGCGCACGCTGTGTCTCACCTAAAAAATCCATTGCGCAGGCTGGAAAGGTTAAAAGACCTTTCCCCAAATCTTCGCTCGCGAAGACTGGCCATTATGTTAATTGCATGTAAATTGTTAATTTAATATCTGAATTTATGTAGGTTTATGTGACATTTCTTACATGGGCAAGTCTTGTGTCCTTTCAAAATACAGTTGGAAGTAATTAGCTGTACTATGTATGTGGTACTTATTAAGAAACATGACTGTGAGTCAGTCTGGAGGCTAGTCTTTGCATTACATAGGTGAGATTGCCTTATTTTGTAAATAACCTGGATAGGCAAAGGCAGCTCATTATGAATAAGCAGCATAAAGTACAAAAGGAGATGTGCTGGTGGTAGAAAAGAAGGTGATAAGACAGAGGCTATGATTGTATTTATGACTTAATTTGCACAAGCCCCAGCTGATAAAACCTCATCATCACACCATGTGGTGTGTGTCGCTGGCTGCTTATTCCCAGCATCTGTGTAGTTCCAGCACTAACACTGCTTCAGCCATGCAGTGGTCTGCTTTGGCTGAAAATTACTAGTTGGGTTTTTTAGTTTTTTGGTGTTTTGGTTTTTTTTTCCTCTTTAGACTATCAGCTGTAACCCTGTGAGGAAGATACACATTACTGAAAAGTTAGCAGTACAGTGAACAAAATGAGACTCTCATAGCTAACATGTATTTGTTAGCAGCAATGTAAATTGTCTCACCTTACTACAAATATGTTTCTGTTTTAATGTAGGTGCGTATGAGCAGAGGAAAATCCTTGGTTGAAAAAGCAATCAAAGAACAGGTACACGAAGTAATCAATGAATTTGTGTTTCAGAAACTTTGGTTTTGCTCTTCTAGAAAACAAACCAGAGTAAGAGTGGTCATAGAGAGAAGTCAGTCTTGGAATACTCAGGCAGAAGTTGAAGGATTGTCCTAAATAATCTATCAAATCATGCTTTCCGCATGCTTCCTGAAGAATTAAAAGTCTGTGTAGTCTTATGACGAGTGTTAAAATTTGTCAAGATTGCTAGTATAACTAGCATTTGAGAGGTGCTCATGAAGTTAAGGAAAATGTATCAATTCACTGTGTTCAAATTCTTACAATAAAATGTGACAACAGAGAACAGTTTTGGCTTTCTGAAAGTAAATATATTCTTTGGATGGTAAATTGCTGTAACTCAGAGATGGCAAAGTCAGTTGAGAAGAGCAGTAGTCTTTTGACCAGAAGCAAAGCATCTGCATTTTAATCTCAGCTTTCATATTACATGTTGCAATATATTTGTAATTATTTTAAATAATCTACTATTTATTGCTTTAGATTATTAATATAATTTATTGTTTGCAGGATTTAATCCCCTCTGGTAGTATACTGTCCAATGCTTTGAGTTGGGGAGTGAAGATACTTCAT